CGAAACGAAACGAAACGAAACGAAACGAAACGCTGGACGAAAGATTAGGTTAAAGGGGTTCGCGAAGCTCGAACGCGAGCGATGGCGTTTCGGAGAGACGCGGCGCATTTCTTGGAAAACGATAGGCCCCTGGTCCGGGCCCTGAAATATGCTCGGGGCTCGAAACGGGATAAAGCTCTGCTAATTGGTGGCGAGGACGAGCGGTGCGCGCCTACACTAGCATTGGTTCGCGAGTCGCGTAATTCCGGCTAATTTATTTGATTGCAACAGCATGCCCGACTCCGCTCGCCGTAATAAGACTTGCCCTCGCTCTTTTTACGCTCCTTCTTCTTCTTCTTCTTCTCCTTCTTATTCTCCAGATCCTTCTTCTTCTTCGTTTTTCTTCATCTCCTCTTTTAGAAACTCCCCTCGCCCCGTTCCACTGGTCTCTCGCCAGAGACGAAAAGAAAATCGGTAAGCTCGTTCCCGTACCACCTTCTCTTTCGAATTCCAGTCTGTTTGCTGCTTGTTGTTCGAACTAGAGATCGCGGCAAAGAAATTAAGGACTTAACACGCGATAGCTTTTTCTCGTTCAGAGAATTTCCGAATGTTAGAAATGAACAGATCTTGCTTGGTTTGCAACATTTGAAAATTCGGTGTATGAAAACGGAATCATTTTATCGGTATAAATCTGATTCCTTTGCTTTTGATAATTATCGAGTAAGAGACAAGAGGTTTCACGTGTCAGCGGTTTATAAAAGTATTCGAACGTTTTTCGACATTAACAATAGAACTTTGATACGTTATATAAAGGTATGCGTGTTGTGCAAAACATTCGTTATTCGAAATTTCGTTAATGCCATATTACGAGATGACTGTTGCGATTACGTTGGTAAAGATTGAAGTCAATCTGATAATTCACGTAAAAATTACAAGTTATTTATAAAGCATATTTAATAAAGCATATGAAGTATATAATGAGTATTAAAGATGGTGTCATCGAATATTGAGGAATATTGATATGATAGATTACTGTGTGATTATTGAGCGAAATATATATTTGCATATATCAATCTTCATCTTCTTCAGGTTCTTACAAAACGTGTATAATTGAAATTGGACACCTACAGTGAGAGTGAATTATACGAAATTGAATAGAAATTTAATCTGTTTGATATCAATAAAAGAGTTTGGAAATTTAGCTATGTATACTTTTATCGCAGATATTAATTCTTTAGCACTATGTCAGTTTGATAGCAAAGGATACATTAAGTTGAAAAAATAGAAGAGACGATCGAGGGCTAAATATCTTATAATTTTCAGACTTGTTTCGAACTTGATTAATACAACGATGATAGTCGTCGTGTCTCGTTACAATATTGATGAAATTCCAAAATATTCTATACATGTATAATACAGTACACTCATAAAATACTTTCACGAGCAATTTTACATTTAAATAACACATTTTAATTAAACACACCTGTATACGAACCCTCGAACTCCAGACAAAGAAAAATAGAAAAAACTGTCGGCATTTTGCCCTTTTCTTTCTTTTTTTTTTTTTAATAAAAAGAACATAATCGAGAGAAAGACTTGGAAAATGATAGCCAGCGTTTCGTACGTCAAATGGTTGAACGTGAACGACGAAAGTGGCGATTCTCGGGGAGGAGGAGGCCGTGCCTTTTTAACAACCCTTCTTAATGAGGCAGAGGAGAGGTAGCGAACCGTGTGTCCACGCGTTTTACACGCACGCGAGCGACCGTGTGGCCCTTAGATACAGTGTACGGACTCTTAATAACAATGTCGTTTATAGTTAGTACATGGGCGGAGGTTAGTTAGCGAGAATCGCGGATGTTCGGCGGCGAGGGAAAAGAGAATGCTAATAAAACACAATTAGCGGCTCTACCGAGCCGACCAATCACCGGGTTCCGCGCGCTCTATCGTATACGCACGCGTAAAACTCCGCTCCTGGTTATTTATGACTTTCCTGGCGCGCATTATTATTGAGAGGAGGGCATCCTTCTTTTTTTCGCAATCAGCTTGCCCGTTGTTGTTGGTCGCGCCGATGGCGTCGTCGTCGTCGCTGTCATCGTCAAAACTATTCTGAATTATCTAGGCTTGGAGCAGATAATTACGCGAGCGACGTGACGTCATAGCAATTTTCCACGTTTCGATAGAATTATTTTAATTTGTTCTATACGCGTACGGTTTCGTGCAGAAGTACGTTTGACGAACTTCTTGAATTGAAATTAGAAAGGAACAAGTTACTTCGAAATTCAATTGTGTGAAACTGAATTGATCAGCTTGCCTTCTGAACGGCTCAATTTCTTGTGATACGAAAGAAGAAAGTTACGCGATATTATGGACGATTGAAGTAATATGAGAAATCGGAAGTTCAATTGAAGAAAATTTA